GTCTATAATGCAATTTATTGTACAAAAGCTGTGAGCTGTATAGGAGATCGAAAAATATTGTAAAAATATTGAGTATTTGTAAGTCACTGGTTATATCGGTTACGGTTGTGAGGCTGGTAATGTGATGATGTAGATGGTATTGATTATGTTGATGATGTTGGGGTTGATGGTGGCAAACATGTAGGCGATGTTAGTTATAAAGGTAATGTTGGCTATGTTGTAATTGCATGGTAAAAGTTTGCATGGAAAGGTTTATATTGAACGAGGGTGACCAATGTATTTGAATCCAAGAACGTTTGGCGGCATGGAACACGCAAATTATACACTGAATTAAACCGTTCTAAATTAACTGGGAGCCAACTTTTGTTTTAGTCGATTGTCAGCTTTTTTTGGGTTGGAATATCAAATTTAACCCTCATTGTGTTTTTGAAATTTGTAATCGTGGTGCGTCTGGTTTTGGTGTTGTATTTTCATTTCTTGCATAATTTTTGCTTTTGTTTTTTATAAAAGTGTCATTGTTAAAATGGTAGATAGATATTTAATTGAAAGTAAAACTTGGAGTTGGGCAAATTATATTCTTACTTTTTATAAATTATCTTTCTATTTAAAATCACCCAACTTTTTTTAATTAGAAAAAAATATTATAACTACTTTATATTTCCTATATTTATATTTTATATTTATTATACTTAACTTAATATTAAATATTTACTTTGATATATTTTGTTTACTATTTAAATGATATTTGATCTTGATCTATCGAGTTTGAAAGTTAAATAAAATTTAACTTTTAGTTATGCTTTTAGTTTTATTAATTCTCTCCTTTTTTTATTCACCCGAACGTTCTCATATTTTAATTTGTAATTTAATTATTTTTTCCTGTTTTTACTGCTTTTTTTAATTTTATTATGTTTTAAATCTAATATATTTTTTTATGTTCTGAAGTATCTTCTTAACAAAACAGATGAGTTTTTTTTAGCATTATGAACAATTTATTCACTTGGCAAATAATAAAATTTGCCATAACAGTTTGAAATAAGAGAAAGCAGTCGAAACTGTTCATGAATGCTTTAATTTAAATTTCCGCACTTTCGCATACTAGGGGAATGTTTAATAACATAACATAGCAATATAACATAGCATAACATAACTTCAAGAAGAATTTTGACTTAATTATGGCCAACAAAGAATTTTTTATGATCATAAAATTGACATTGCTGTTTGATTGCTTTTTGTTGTGTTTTAATGCTATTTTGATATGAGCATATATAACTTACGTTTAAGCCCATTATTTATTTATGTTTATTTATAACATAACATGACATAACATAATAAGCATAACAAAACTTAACACAGCTTGACATAACATATTATATATTATCATTATTACCCTAACATAAATATGATAGGAAATGGGCGAAAACTAAAAATTTACCATGTCCTTATTAAAAATGAAAATTAATTAACTGTGATACTAAATAAAACGTAAAAGTAATAAAAAAGTTAAAACATGCTGCTGCACTTATTAAAGGCCGTCTAGTGGTGTGACCTATTTCAAAATTTGAATTTTGAACTCAGATTTTATTAACCTTTCTTTTAATTGTTTTTGACTAAAATATTTGTTCAATTTTATTTATATAATCTTATTTTATTATTTACATTTTTTAAAAACATTATCAGAGTTATTTTGCAAAATTGAATGTTAGGTTTTTTCTTTCTATGATATTTCTTCATGCAGATTAAAAAAACGCTAAGTTCTAAGGGTGAATTTTTTAATCAAATTGAAGACTTTATAGAATAAAGGTTAATTAATGTTGACGGTGAGTTTTAAGATCATTGCAATGGCATATTAAAGCATAAGATGCTTGAAAAATAATTTGAAAAAATAATTGATTAACAAATGTAATGCAAATGTAACGTAATGCTCTCAGTCAAATTCAGCAAATTTCAGTCTCTGGTGAAATCTGAGAAAAGGTTTAGCAAGTTTGTCATTGAAGGGGTGATGTTTGTATTGAAAATATTTTATTCTTTGTCCCTGCCACTTTGCTTAAAACACCTTCTAAAGGTGCGGCACAACTTAGGTATGCTTAAATGTTTGAGACATTAAACTGTAGTAAAATTTAAAAAATGGAATAAATAAAAAGATTTGAATGAAGAAAACTTTTATTTTACGTGAACCAAGATTGTTCAACGGTGCATTTGTTTGTCCTCAGGCAAATAATTTCACACATTTTAAAAATAATTAAACTGAAAAATGGATTGATCGAGCATAATAAGCATAACACGTTTAAACGATGCTCTTTGAGTCTTAGAATGCTCGCCTGGGCAGACTTTCTCGAGTTACGTTTGATAAACAACTATAAATAGGTTTCCAGAGAACTATTTACTATTTACCAAATAAAGGCGACAAATTTTATGGAGCAAATTTCGAAATAAAAAAATAAATAACGTAAGAAAATATTGAAAAATCATATTTAAGTAATTTTAGACTACTTTATTTTTTGAAGTCTACGTTGTTACAGTGAGAGTTTTAGTTGTTACTGCGTGTGCTATAGCTGCGACTATGCTTTTACAGAAAGTTATTTCTTTAATTTCTTCAAAATTTGTTTACGTTTAGCGTGATGGCGGCACGTTTTCTCGGTGGTTTTGTAATTTGGGTGGATTCTTGTTTTTTGCTTCTGAACAAGTGAGTTCACTTCTTTTTTACTCTGACTTTTTTTTTCTATATCTTTTTCTATAACTTGTAAATATTATTATATCTTACTTTAGTCTAGAGAGACTTTCTCTTAAAGCCTCTCTAACACTCCTTTGTCTCCGACGAGAGTAGTTGTGCGGCGAATTTTTTACTTTAATCTTAGGGCTAATAATAACAATAAAAACAATAAATCTAACTCTAACAAAGAAATAAATATAATTAGTAACAATAATTATATTAATAATACTAATAGCAAGTATTATAACTTTATTAAATCACACTCTAATGTAATAAATACTATTGATAAGAATAATAATTCTATTAATTTAAATATAACTAGATTTAAAAGTACCAATATCCATCCTACCTCTACAATTTCACTATTTAATATAA